ATTAAATTGACAATCTGTGTCTAGAGTTGTCGTTTCTTGCTACTTTTAAAATATACTTATGTCCCATATTTAATATTCATATATTAAATTCTTTAAAATAAAAAAAAAAGATTTGAAGCTAATTCTTTCAATTAAATCAATTCCTTTGATAATGTGGAATCTTATATACGAAAAGGTCAAAGCATATGCATGTACATGTATATTCATTCCATTTTAAGTGCACTCTGTTGGTTTTACTGCAACTTGTGTTCCCTCGTCGTACGCCAAATGCGCAGCATGCCATACGGTAACCCGGCTTGTTACTTCACTTGACCGAGGAGTCGCCTGCGTGGCGCAATTGTTATGTAGAGTAGCGGAATAAGAAGTTAATCCTTATGTCGCGGGTTCAAATCCACTGTAAAGACCGGTCCTTCGGATGAGACCGTATAAACCGAGGTCCCGTGTCGCAGAAAGTGCTGGCACGAAAAAGATTCCTAAATACTTAAATGCCTTAAGTGCCTAGTACAGGTCTAAATTTGCAGCCCTCCACCGGCAAATGGCGGCGTCTCAATATGATTGAAAAATTGTCGAAGGGACGTTAAACAGAAAACAAGCAAAAATTTGACCAGGGAGGGTTCGCTGGCATACGCCGATCTCCTGACCGGTCATTTAAAACCGGCGAGATCGACGTACGCCGGTGAGCCTTGCCTGGTCAAATGAAGCAACAAGCCCGGTTTCCAAAGGTCAAGCGGCGCATTCGGCGTAGGCCGGTTATACGAATGGTCCTAACTTTTAAACAACCGGTGAGGAATTCACCAGTTTGAGAGATATGCCGGGAAGATATACTGGACAAAATATGTTAGGGATCATGGATTGTTTCAATGATTAAATCTAAACCTTTGTACGTACATGGAAGAATATATAAAGCACAGACGCTGACATCATTTTACGTCAATATTTAATCAGAAATCCCGATTTCATTTATTGATGTTTTGGGTCATCCCTAACAAAAAAATACTATAACTATAGTTTACAATAGCATCAAAGTTTTTACTATAGTAAATCAAAGTTTTTACCATAGTAAATCAAAGTATTTTGCAATGGGTTTCAGATTGTTACATTTTATGTTCTCCAATTCATACATGCACATTTTTTATATTAAATGTAACTATTACTTGTATATTCACATATATTTTCCAAATTTTAAATTTACATCACTGTCATCAAAATTAAGAGATTTTAAGCTTTGAAATGTCAAAAAAGAGTAAAGTTTTATAGTATGTCATAGTATCAAAGTTTTTACTATAGTTAATTATAGTAAACTTTAGTTAACTATAATATTTTTAGGGATAGTACACACAACAAAATTTCACTTGAAGAAATTTTTGTATGAAGGACAACTTGAACTTTATGGAACATGTCCAAAATTTACTCAGAGATCATCAATACTCGGTATGACCTCCGTTAACCTTCAGAACAGCCTGGTATCGGCGTTGCAAAACTCATTATGAGATTCACAATGTTCTGATGTTGAGAGTTTGTTCCATTCCTCTTAGCGCGTTTTCTAGGTCATCCAAAGTCTGTGTTGGTTTGGACGCTGTTAAAGTTTATGCTGAAGTTGATCCCATCCATGCTCTATTAGATTTAGGTCCGATGAGACAGCAGGTCACTCCATACGATCAATAGTTTCCTTTTGTAGGTACTCCTAAATCACATGAGTACGATTGGGAGAGGCGTTATCATCCATCAGAATGAAATTTGGCCCGATTGCACCTGCAAATAACCTGATGACTGGGCGAAGAATTTCATCCCCGTACCAGAGAGCAGTCAGTGTGCCGTTCCTGATGGCTAGCAGAGATCCCACCCCAAATCATCACAGACCCATCCCCCAAACCGATTGTGTTCAGCCACCAATGCCTGGCTGTTTCTCTGTCTGGCCTCTCTTCACACACGCCTACGACCATCGTGGAAGTCCAGACAGAATCGGGACTCATCTGTGAACAGTACCGGCTCCCAACGTTGTCTATCCTAATTCACATGTTGACGTACAAATTCCAAGCGTGCTTGTCGATGACGTGGCAGAAGTCTAGGACTGGCCTGTAAGCCCTGAGTTTAGTGGCATGAAGTCTCTCAAAGTCTGGGGCGTAATGTGCAGGCCTGTGGCAACATTAAACTGACAAACCAGTCTTTGGCAGGTTGAAAACGCTGTCTCCGGGCCAACGTTAAGATGTACCGGTCTTGGCGTTGCGTTGTGGTACGGGTCTGCCACTTCTAGGCCTCTCATTGACTGTACCAGTCCCCTAAAATCGTGTCCAGAGTCTAGAGATGACACTCTGGGACGCAATAAACCGGATAGCAACATCTCGCTGGGTTTGTCCAGCATGAGGCATTCCGATTGCTTGATTGCGCTCATTTGCCTTAAATGAAGTATCTGTAGTGGCGAACCTTCAATCGCTGTTTACTTTATCAACAACGTAGTTATGTCTGCTGACTGATTGTCTGCCTTAAACAACTACCCAAAGTGTACCATATATTTATTGTGCGGTTCATAGGCACGTAGAAATTGTGAAGAAGCATACAGTGAACAGGATTCAACCCGGCAGGCACACAACGTTGTTTAATATAAACGTTGAAAATTGGTTGAAGTTGGGTTTAGACGTTGATAAATCTAGATTCAATATTGATTCAACGTTGACTTTTCAACGTTGAAAATGTAACGTATAGGCCTATTCAAATTGAGTTGAATTGCCAACATTGATTCAACGCCGGATCTTCGCCCAGCGGGAATCCTATTTTTCGCTGATACATAATTCGGACTATAATAGTGTCGGACTGTAACATTGTCGGTCCATAACGAGGTCGGACTTGACAAAGTCGCACTACCGCACATAACTAACAAGGATGGTAAATATATGAATTTTACAAATTCAATGATAAATATGAATTCAGTACGAATTCGCCAAAGTACGAATTGAGAGCATGCGCAGTAGGGCACCCGGAAAATATTCAAAAAGACAGGATAACAGTTACTGATAAGATTTGAGAATTTAATAGATTTTATATATAAAGCTGTCTTAATGTTTTAAAAATTATAACTCGATTTGTTATCCATCTCATTGATCGTGATTTTGGATGATTCGCATTCAAACTGACGCCAATTTCAGTCCAATATTCTCTTTTAAAGAATGCATGCAGACCACATTGAAGACTATTCCATTGTATAGTTTAGTTAATTGATCTTCAGAGTTTGAGAGTATTACATCTTGGGTAGTGTTAGGATATATAGCATAACTGGGTCAAGGATTCTGTAAAGGATTGTGTAAAAAAAGGGGTGGGGGTGACCACTTGAAAGGGGAATGCTTCCATCTCCACTTAAGGTTTTGGGGCATTTTTCACTGTACACCGAGACCCGTTTACATTCCATTCTCATGTCTGTAAGATCTTTAGGAATCCTGAATTTTATTTTCAGATTCTTATGGATCTGTCTTTGTATAGCTTTTCGGGGGAGGGGGGGGGGTTAGAAATTCCCGTCTGTTTTCCAGTATATCCGTTCCTTGTTTATTTTTTATTTGATGAGTAAATCATAGGTTTTGAGATAATTTCCTCTTTTAAGGGTTTTTTTCATGTCTTGATTTGAATTTTACTTGTACATAATTGTTTTATGAAATATAAAACTGATGCACAAGTTTGGGTTGAGAAATTCATGTGTAAGACTTTTGCTTTGATGGAACACAAACTTCTAACATTTTTTTCTTTAGTTTCCTGTTACACTTTCAGTTAACTTCATTTTATTTTGTGTTTTGTGAAAATTAGGCATGGCTTATAAAGAGATAGAAGATATATCATGCAGAAATAGATTTTTAATCTCACAGCCAAACAATGATATAGATGTACCTTGTAAATGAAGGACATTCCAGCACCTCACAGCCTCCAGCAAATTTGAAGCGGCTGATGAATGTTAACACATTGAAATGGTACAGTGCATTAACCATTCTCGTTACACTTTAAGAAACTGCATTTAATTTTCAAGTTTTATTGAAAAAATATCATTTGCAATGTCAAGCAATTGGCTAATTTTTGAATATATGTATTTATGTAATAATTAGTTTCAATACATTTGAATTGTCTTTGGATTGATTATTCATAATTTGGAAAATCGTAAGATATTGTTTATGTAAGTGTTCGTCAATTTTCACTGAACGATAATTTTGGGATAAAAAGATTATGAGATTGTCCGCAATTTTAACATATTTCATTATATAAAAATTTATTACATCAAATTGTACATTGTAGAGGTAATTAACTAAAAATCTGCACCACTCTGTCCACTCAGAATACCAACATAATCCAGGAGAGAACAATAATCAGGAGACCAACAGCACCCCAGGAGTCCAAGACCACCTACAAGACCAACATCAGCCTCAGGACTCTGACACCAGGACTCTAACACTAAGATTTAATTAAAAATGTACTTTTTTTAAAAAGAAATATTCATCGGATATCGGATTTCCAACATTTCGGCATGAGCATCATTGAAGAGACATAATTTGTCGAAATGCGCATCTGGTGCATCAAAATTGGTACCGTAAAAGATTTACATCTTATCTTGGAATGTTTTCATGTATTGGACTATTTCTTGACCACATGTGAGAATACAAAACATTTGTAAAATGTTCGGGTTTTGTAATACGATTAATTTATAAAATGTATTTTTGTGAAATTTATTGTAATTGATCTATTAATAGAAGTTAATTAAATGTTTATATCAAATAGATTCTATTTATGTAATTATGAAGGCATCTCAGTTAATAAAACAATTAAAATTTTAAATAAGTAATGACACACACATACACCCCTCGGATAAAAAAAAACGGAAAGAAAAAGTTGAATTAACTTTTATTAAATATCTAATCAACATTGATTTTCAACATTGAATCAACGTTAAGATTTCAACGTTGGACTCAATTTTCAAAATCTTACATAAACTAAACGTTGAATTAAAATACATAATCAACGTTGATTCAAAGTTTTTTTTCAATGTTTTGTGCCTACTTGGAAGTCACAAATTATTTTCTCAGTCCTTGTATAAGTATATTATCGCCATGTTTTTTTCAATTTCAATGAACTGCGCTTTCGTGGTAGAGCAGGCCCTAATGGATTATTCCTTGCGAGCACAACTTCTTTATCAATATCACTCTCCCCAAATCTCTCAGAAAGAATTCTAACAACTTTTTCACGTCCCTCTCTTTTGGCAATATGAAGTGGACTGAGACCAGCTTTTGAGCGAAGAGTCCCGTTTGCTCCATGTCTAAGAAGTACTTTCACAGCTTTATAAGAACCAACATAGCTTGCCTCATGGAGAGCAGTTTCGCCGTTTTCGTTACGTGCATTGACATCAGCACCATGTTTCAGGAGGAGAGGTATGCACTTCTGTCCATTAGAGCATCCAGCGGCAAAATGTAAAATAAGTTGTCCATCATTATCACGCGCATTGACGTCTGCGCCATGATCAACCAGTGCTTGTATGAACTTCAATGATGCATTAAATTTATCCAGAGCCATCATCAGAGGCGTGGTTCCTTCCTGATTGCAAACGTTCACATCAGCGTTGTATTTAAGTAGAATGGACAGAGAATCGGCATTGCTGTTACAATAAGCACTTGTATGCAGAGCTGTATTTCCAAAATTATCTTTTGCGTTGACATTAGCACCATTTTCTAGAAGTAGCTTGACTATACCCGGATGATTTTTCTGTACGGCTTTCATCAATACAGTTTCAGTAGCATACCCTGAAGTATAGTTTGTATCAGCACCATGCTGTAATAGAACCTTAACTATCTGAAAATGACCTTCCTTCACGGCAGCAAGAAGTGGGGAGCCAGCAGGAGAACCATCTGGTTGTTTGGGATTGACATCGGCTTTACGCTCTAAAAGAATATCAACAACTTCTTTCAATCCAGCAGAGCATGCCAAAGAAACAGCAGTTGAACCGTCAACAATTGTATTCACATCAGCACCGCGGTCCAACAGAAGTAGGGCTGTTGAGAGACGGTTCCCTTCTAAAGATCGTTGTAAAGGCGTGTAATTCTCGTCGTCACCATCGTTATTAATGTCCATGCCATGATCAAGTAAAAGTTTCACAATATCTGAATGTCCCCTAAAACATGCCATAGATAGAGCATTTTGATCGTCATCGTCATCGCAGATGTCGACGTCAGCATTATTCTTCAGCAAGATTTTGACCACATTAATCCACCCTCTTCTTGACGCATTCATTAAAGCAGAGTTTCCCTCGTCATCGCATTCATTGATTTTCGCCCCATTTTCAACAAGTAGAGCAACAGTTTTCTCGTGTCCAGAATATGAAGAGACCAATAAAGGATTTTTTGAGCCAGCTCCGTTCACTTTACTACCGTGACACAACAATTCTTGAACAATTTCATGGTGACCAAATTCCGATGCAATGAACAATGGACTTCTTTTATTCTTTGTACACAAATTTACATCAGCTTTTTTTGCTAAAATTTTTACAACTTGAGCGTGACCGTGCTCTGAAGCAACAAAAAGAGCAGTAGCCCCCATTCCGTTAGACATATTTACATCCGCATCATGATTTAGAAGTTCCTGCACAACATCCTCATGCCCACAACCTGAGGCCAGTATTAAAGGAGTGCCTCCACTTTTTGCACATGCATCAACATCTGCTTTATTCTCCAGTAATAACGACACAATATCAAGATGACCTTGTTCTGCAGCAAAGTGTAGGGGAGTTCTCTTCAAATCGTTGGCTTGATTTACATTTGCTTTATTTTTTAACAGAAAATGAACAGTTGAATATTGGCCATTTTTTGATGCAACAAGTAAGGGCGTATCTCCTTTTTTCGTCTTCAAATTAATATCCAAGCCACAGTTTAATAGTATTTCTACTATTGAAACATATCCACGAGAGGCTGCAGAATACAATGGACCTATCATTGTTGTTTTTTGAACGATATTTACATCAGCTCCATGTTTTAGAAGCATGTCAACAATTTTATCGTGGCCATTCCTAACAGCAATGGAAACTGCCGAGGTACCTGATGCTACTGTACAATTAACACAAGGATCGTGCTGTAGAAACATTTTGACAATGTTTGTATGGCCATGCTTACAAGCTACAAAGAAAGGAGTGTATCCTGTCTCTTCCTTGAGTTCATCATATGTTCCTCGTTTGAGAAAAAGTTCGACCACAGCATCATATCCACTTAACGATGCAAAATATAACGGTGTAAGACCTCCATTGCTCCTCATATGAACATCTGCACCCTTGTCTAAAAGCAACTGAACTATTTCTAAATTGCCAACCTTGGATGCAAAGTGTAAAGGAGACAATTTTTCATCGCCAGTTTCATTTACATTTGCACCATTATCGAGCAAAAAACGAACAATGTCAACATTTTGTCTCTGACATGTAAAGGCAAGAGCTGTTGGAAGTGTAACAGGATGGATGTTGACATCCGCACCTTTCCGAACAAGTAGGATCAATGTCTGCAGACGCTTGTCCTCTAACAGTTCGTCGAAGGTTTTACTAGGATCACTGAACTTTAAGTTGCATGTCCAAGAGATATTTTGAAGAGTGTATTTTCCTGCCGTTGCTGCTAAGAAAAGGGGAGATTCGTTGTTTTGCGTAAGCATATTCACATCACATTCTTCATTTAGAATAAGTGATAAAATGTCAGCGTGAAGAAAATTTGCAGCTACGTGAATAGAATATATATTCTCTTGTTTACTCCAGCACGCATTTTTGCACTCCGTTATTTCTAAAACTTGTTCAGCAAATTCCTTTCGCCCATTGACAGAACAGGCGCTCATCAAGGGAGCATTCCTGAAATATTCAGAACAACTCCGATTTTCCTTTACTAAGGAAAATATAGCAGAAAATAGTTTGTCAATGTTTAATACAAGCATAAGGATGATTGGAGATATTTCATGGCACCTTGGGATTAAGTCAAGTCTAGAATATCCCTGTAATTTTTTCTGTAGCAGTGGTCCCGGGATCTGTAGATCATTGTCTTGATTTAGTTTTGAGTATAAAGTTAACTTTTCCATTTCCTCAAAAGGTTTAGTCTTCAAGCGCATTAGAAGCTTGGTCAAAACTCTATCATCAAGTATCCAAGGACAAAGAAATATATCCAAGTATGTGCCATTCTTAATGTCTTCCTCAATTCTGTCAACAAAAGAATCAATAAAACGGTCCACTAGTTGAATCTTTGGAAAGATCTCATTTCTTGGAACTGAACACGTAGTCGACGTACTAAAGAAACTACTTTGGCAATATTTAAGAAACTGCTCCGGAACATCATTACAGAATATATTAGTCAAGGCACGAAGAAAAGAATTGTTTGTAATTTTGAAAATTCTGCGTACACATCGTAGAAAATAATGACCCCGGAGAGACTTTAAACACTGAAAGATGGCTATACGAGAGATGCCTTTTCTGAGATTCAGTGTTTCGAACAGATCATTAAGCATCTTTTCGTCGATAATTTCGCAATCATTTTCATCGTCATCATCATCATCGTCGTCGTCTTCATCATCATCATCATCGTCGTCATCATCATCTTCATCCTTGTTATCATCATCTTCATCCTCGTCATCATCATTATTGTCATCATCATCTTCTTTTTCATCATTCATATATTCCAGACTTTCTCTGTCTTCTGTTTCATCGTGAAAGCTATGTTTTGATAGTTTATTTCCATGCAAAATCAATAAAAGTAAACATAAATATTTTTCTTTGGAATTTTCTCTCAATAATAGAATTTCTCTGTTCAGTTGATCGAAAGGTTCACTAAAAAATTTAAGTATATTTTCTTGTAAGGTTTTACTGGTAGAAACTATACTGGAAAGTAAAGGAAATGATTTGTCGGTTAAAAGTATCTGGTTAAGTTCGTTATTTTCAAGTTCAGAACAATCTATATGCCTCTTAAGAATGTATTCTTTTTCTTTTTGGGTTAATCGAGCTTCATCTTTGTCCAGATTGATAATGGTAAATCCACTCATAATGAACTCTCTATCGTTTTCCAGAAGATTGGACCTGCAGGTCACAATTACTTTGGGAAGCTTTACTTTATTGTCCCCCTCTTTATTTTTTCTAGAATAGTCATCCAACATTTCCTTTTGTAAATGCCACAATCTGAACAATTTTTCATCAATGTCGCTTTTTCCAATCGGATCATTGACAACGAATAGGACGGATTTAGTTTTCACCGGGGCATTCTTAATATCATTTAGACTCTTTACATCTACGATTTTCCATTTCAATGCCATATATTTTAAGGCAATGTTTTTTGCAATAGCAGATTTGCCACACCCTGCTTCTCCCACTAAAACAATTCTATTGAGATGTAACTTTGACTCCACTAGTCTACAGGCTTTGGTTTTTACAAACTTTTGGTTCTCCTCCGCCCATTGTTTTAGCCATGGTGTTTCCCATTCATCTTCCTCGTCTTCTGTCTCCGAGTCTGCAGAAAAGTAGGTGCCGCATGCGCAACGCGGCATCCTGATGGTGACTACTAGTAGGGGTTTTCTTACTGATTAAGGTTACTTTTAAGGCGCCTTGATCTGTTTCCCCTAAAATGAAAAGAAGATGTATATTTACATGCTAATTATGAAAACATAGCTAAATGGAAATACATGTATAAAGTATTTCATACTTCAGGTAACATTGTTCAAAACGATGGTCACTAAATTCTGCAAAATATTGAAGTATGTAGCATTTTCTTTTTCACAACAGACAGAACGAATTCGAGTACTCCAGTGTCTAAAGGACTTTGTATTACAATATAGACCAAACATTTAATCATGGTGGGTATTATGAGTAGTAAAACTGTTGTCAAAACATGAAATAATCTAAAAAGAAAATAATTAGACCACATGACATACATGTATACTTGGTATTTAGTTTATGTTACTGTAAACATTTTATCGAGAGAAAAATAATTAAACTACTTAACATACATGTACATACTTGCTATTCATTTTTTATCCGAAATACGTGTAATTGAAATCAGACTTATGTTAAACAACCGTTTTTTAATGTAACACACATCTTATTTATGATCCATGGGTGAAATCTACACGAAAGGTATCAACCATTTCAATTAAAAGCCCGTAGCAACGGTTTCAAAGGGGGGGGGGGGCTTCCAAAAGAAATCTGTCAAGCAAAATAAAAGGTAATTTTCTGTCCAAATCCTGGAATTTGCCAGTGCTTTACCTTTCAACATCAAAAAGGGAGGGGGTGGGGGGGGGGGCAACCAGCACCTAAATGAAAATTTACCATAACAAAATACAATACTCAAAAAAGCCCCCCCCCCCGCGTTCTACGGGCCTGAGTTAATTTGATAGATTGCAAAATATTTAAGATAATTTTGAAGACCCCCATCATGGCATCATAAGACTTGGTTTGTTTGGGCATTGTATGAAACCATAAATCACAAAGATGTGAATACAAATAGGAAAAAAAATATATGTACACAAGTCAAAAGACTTGTGCTTTATTGTAGGATCAACTTACCTGTGTAAAATTCAAACAACTGTTGAAATAATCTTTACACCAGATCCGCACACTGCCTATTCAGGGTGTTATTTGGTGACCAGAGTGTTTCCAATACACATTTTATAATGAATTTTAAAGCTCCGGGCTGTGTAGTTTAATCTTAAGTACATTTGAATGGAAAATATTATGTGTACCTTAACTATTTATATTGGTCTATGTTTCATTACTCGTAGTCATGGGCTAAACTTATTAATACACATATTGAAAAAAAAAATAATAGACGACATACATGTAACATGCATTTTCTTCGAAACCCAATCTTAAAATCAACAAATAAACGAATAAAGGGAATTTATTTTGTAATAATTCAATTTTCCTTACTTTCATGACTTTGGTACAAAGGATTTCTACAGTCGGAATTATTTGTTCATTTGTCGATGAATATAAATTTATGTCAGTGGCAGAACTACTTTCATAGTAAATCTGCCAGGGATCATCACTATGAATTTACTAACCCCCCCCCCCCCCTAACAATGTCCTCTTAAAGATTTAAATCAGCATTCTTTAAATCGCCTTTATCTCTTTGGGTAGTATGACTTGAGGGAAACATTTTAGTCATTTTTTTTAAATTAAAAATTAAACAATACAAAGTCTAGTTTTGTTGAAAAAAGAAAAAATTAAGCAAACGAGCTAGTGATATATACTATTATATATGAATGTATATTATTAATTAATATCATACATGTATATAGTATTATTAATTCCGGGGTTTGGCGAGGGAATGGGAAGGAGAAAGACGTACATTTTTTTTGCATAGAATGCTCACAGGTGATAATACTCTACTACCTAGGATTGCGGAAATAATGGTAAACCTAGAAAAGAATTGTAAAGCTAGCGTTAAAAAGGAGGACGTTAAAATGAGATTTTTTAGCGTTCTTTCTGTTATTCGGTATTTTGATTTTTGTGTAACTCCTGGATAAATAAGGATCTCTTGATAATCGCATTGTACATTTACTATTGTGAATTTGACATTTTTGTTATTTTACATGCAAGTAAGTTTATTTCAAGAATTTAATTTAAAACGGGCATCCCTTTAAATTTCCCACGGCACTCCACTCGGACTTCATAAACTGTGCGGTTTGTTTGTTTGTTTTTTGTTGTTTTTTTTTTAAGATTCATTCTTCCTCTATAAAAAATTTTACACAAAGATAAACTTAAGAAAAAATCATGTAAAAGGAATCAAAAATATAATCTTTGAAATAAGATAAATTCATTGTTTATCTGTTTAAAGGGGCATTAGACACAGACTTGAAGGTCATATTTTTTAAGAATCATGACTTATATGTTGCTAGAGCATTTTACACCGAAATATAATAAATGCTTGTTCAGAAACTTTATCTGGGTTTTATTAAAACTACGAATTTCGGGACGCGTTTCATTGACACAAAGACGTTTTAGCGGATGGACAAGACGATTTACATGTAACAGAAAAAAAGATTAATTTAAAATAGGATGTGGACATCTTAGCGGGAGAGTTAAAATATACAACTACATGTATGAGAATGGATACGAGCTTTAGGGTGTTTCTGAGAGCAACTGCAAGAACATCATCAATTTTTAGTAATCAATTGACTCTGTACTGCAATTTCCAACCGTCACAATTGATATTCTTTCCCTCTGAATAGTTCCTACTCACTGTTTAATGTCCACCCCAGTCAAAAAAAAATTCCAACCCAGTAATTTCTTGATAAGCCAAAAAAACCCCAAACAAACAAACAAACAAAACAAAACAAAACAAACAAACAAAACAAAAAACAAAAAATGTAAAAATCCATTCCCAAACGTGAAAAAGTCTATTTCGTGTTAATGGTAGTGGGGTCCACGTTTTCTAGAGGAGGGGGGGGGGTCCGAAGTAATTTTTTTTATTTGCTTCAGTATATACTTTTAATACATGTAACTGCAAATTCCAGGACCCCCTCCGACCCCCCCCCCCCCATCCGCGCATGGAGAGAGATGGCAAGAGGCTGGGAATAAAGGCGAAGGGGCAATATTAATGTGAGATAGAAAGTGAGGATGAGGGAGAAAAAAAGAGTGGAGTGAAAAGAGATGTAGGAGAGATAATTGGGAAGAGAGGAACTAAGCTCGAGTATGAGAGGAGTGAGAGTGAGAATCCACATTTGATTTATACCTTTTCGGAAATATATATTTATCCCAATTATCTGTCTATTTTTAGCATAAATGAAAGGTTTTTTTTTTTTTTTGCCAGAGGATCCTGTGACAAATTTTCATGAAAAAAAATTGTTCAAGGGGTCCTTGAGATTTGGGCCACACCACAGAAAGTTTACACATTCCGCACAGATAGCCATCATGGAATTACAATGTAACTCTTTGAGCCTTTGTGTCAGAAGAACTATTTGGGGGGGGGGGGGGTGAAAATTCTTTCAAAATGCTAATAATATTACAATTTTGATTACAAGCTACGTAATGTTTTGTTTTTTTTTAGATTTCGCCAAAAGGTGTTGCAAGATACAAAACAGACTATCCTTCAATATGTTCAAGCTGTTTCATGTGAATTTTGATTTTGAGAACTGTCTGCATAAAATAGATAGCGGTGTTTTATCAACAATTTTATCATATTATTCTAAATTCCCTCTACCAACTGCTACAAAAAAAATTTCCTTAGATTTTTTTGTCGACATAAGCAGCATTTCGCATCCCCCCCCCCCCCCCTTTTTCATGACAAGTCGGATATTTTATTTCTGACCGACTGCACTCTACAATTATTTTTTTAGAGAAAAGAAAAGGGATGGGATATCAACTCCAATTTCATGAATTTGATGTATTTTGATGATTCCATGAAATTATGAGTTATTAAACTGATTGTGTAGTGGACAAAAACAAAAAGGTAAATATTTTTATACGTGTGTAAAGCGATGAGTTTTTTTATTTTATTTAGGTGGATCAATCAGGATGTCATGATTTCGAATTTCCTCAATCGGAAGGATGCAGGATGTTTTGGATCTGTAATTATAAGATTTTGAATTATAAGATTTACTTCAAACCGTCCTTTATTTGCAGTTTGTTTGATAAGATTTATTTCATTTTGCAGACAATCATCTATTACAATCACCATGAACATTATTATTATTATTTTTTTGCAATAATGAAAAAAGCAAAGCCTAAAATTTCTGTACAGGTTAGGACCAATACATTGAAAAGAAGGAAAATGATCGGAACGTGATATAAATTTACAGCACAGATACAATGTACTTGGGTCTTGGTTAATAAATATGTATGAAAACTATTGACTTGTAAACATATTAATAGGTATTATACATATTTATAAACCAAGACTCAAGTTTACAGTTTACAATTCCCAAATGACAGGTGACAATGCTAATTCAACATATTAAACATAATTTTGTCGAAACTTTTATGTATTTGGGAATTAATATCAACATAGAAAATAAGCCTGAAAAATTTGAAGAAATTCTGTGCATCGATAATAAAGATATCAATAAAAACCTGAAATCTGGGTCAGTCGGAGTCGGGAAGCCTAGATTTACGCTTGCCAGTTTACAGTGGGAAAAAAGAAGTTATTTTACGTATTTTAGTCCTACAGATTCCATATTGTAAATCCACAAAAAATACATGATAAGCAACAACTTTTGGTAAATGAGATTTTCTGGATCCCAACTTGTTAGGACATCAAACAAAGATCCAAAACCCATGGATCAATATAAGAAACTGTAGAGTGATAGGAATGCTTGCCAAAAGTTGTGTTTAAAAAAAAGTCTTTCCCTGATGTACATGTGTTGTCAATCTAATTAGAATTAGATGTTCCGAATCCGCTAGCGGATTCGGAACATCTAATTTTAATTAGATTGATATGTTGTACAATTTGTATATATTCCTGCATTACAAAGGATTGTTTTTAATTTATTCTGAGTTAAGTTTAATATATTACATGTTAGTGCCTGGAATTCATTCCCTCTGTTAAATT